CCTGCTATACTTTCACCCAAATTGTCCGCTTGTGTATTTTGCACCGAACACGTAGGCACACTCACTGAGAGACTTACAGCTCTCAGGCACGGCGTGACACTTGCCTCCTGGGCACCGTCACTCCCACGGGCAGTGCCGATGTATGGCCTCTCTATGATATCAAATTTTGTGAAGCAGAGAAGTCAAGCCGGCTTAAAAATTCCTCTAAGCAAGGTAAAGGTAACACACAGAGATATTGGGTTTTCGAACTTTATCCATCGTCCTGGTTTTTAAGATAACTAAGAAAAACACGACGTTTCGAAAACTGGATCTGTTTTCGTCCTCAGGTGAGGGAAAACACCTATTCTGGTGGAGGTAAAGGTAAAATTGTCCATGTGCTTAATCAATAACTCACACGCTCATGGAGCTGAACCCTTCTTGAGAAGCCGCCAATTGTGCAGCTACTCAAGAACTTCCCAGCATTTTATGGAACCCGAAGGTTCATCACCGTGTTCACAAGAGCCCTCCACTGGTCCCCATACTGAGCCAGATGAATCCAATCCATACCATCCCATCTTATCTCTCCGCGATCCATTTTAATATTGTCCATCAACCTACGTCCTGGTCTTCGCAGTGGTCCCTTTCCATCTTTCCCACTAATATCCTATATGCATTCTTCTTCTCCGCCATTCGTGCTACATATCCTGCCCATCTCATCCTCCTTGACTTGATCATTCTAATTAAACTTGGAAAAGAGTACAAGATATGAAGCTCCTCATTGTGTAGTAACTAATTAAGCATTATGTTACGAAAGTGTATGGAGAAATGGAGATACAGCTCCACCATGCTTGATCTCGGTATTAGATGGAGCTGAGTGGTCAGTTTTACATTCCGGCCCCATATACCGTTTGGATGGGAGGCTGGGTACGCCCCGGAGACGTTCTGAAAGCTGTGGAATAGAGAAAATTTCTTCTTACTTCAAGGAAGTGTCTCTCCAGCCAGTTAACTCTCTCTATGGCCAGGCCATAGCTCAAGCGGTTAGTCGCTGATTTCTGACAGCGGCGGCCCGGGTTCGATCCCGGGTCTGATGAAGTGGGATTTGTGGTGGACAAAGTGGCGCTGGGGTAGTTTTTCTCCGAGTACTTCGGCTTCCCCTGCCAATCTTCATTCCACCAATTGCTCCACAATCATCTGGGGCTGGTACAATAGGCCAGAAGCGGCCGCAGTACAAGGGACTTAGTCCCACCCCACTAGCAATAAAGAAACTGTTTCTATACCGATTGAGCCATCCCGGCTCTTCTTCTATGCCTAAATATAACTCATATTGTTCAGTTTCGGAGTTAATGCACTTCTGTGTTTCAGTAGATGCTAAACAATTCTGACGAATAGGCATTCCTAGCTTCTTCCACTTTCTCCAGCAAACACACCTCATTTGGAAACTGGGTCTGTGTCTGTCCTCAGGTGAGGGAGTGGGAGACACCTACCCTGTTGCTATGTGTAACCTATGCCAGTCGTGACTACAGCCACACATGAACCTAAGATCAGGGTTCTTCAACGGGAGATAACAAGAAAATATGCAATAAAATTTTTGATAATGCATATAGAGGCCTGAAACTAAGATACAAATTAAGTAGAAAATATATGTAACAAATCGACCAATAAATTTATCCATAACACGAATAGAAATAATTTGAAGATTATCATATTTTAACAATACATATTTTAACAAATTTGTTCAAAGCGTTTCTAGGCAACGGCTCGGTAATCACGGTTAAAATGCAACAATGGAAGATGTGTCCCAGTAGACGAATGTTATTGCACATTGCTAGGCAACAGCGCATTAATGAATACCCTGGTTAGGGATCACGTGACATGTTCTCTGTGTCATCTTCCTTGTGCAATAATAGAACTGTTTTCTGTTCGTGGTCCATACGGAGGCTATGTAACGAGATTTACTGAATAACATCAGCACTTCAGTTCAGTTCAGTTCAGTTCAGTTCAGTTCAATACTCGGTAGGAGACAGCTACAGGAATTTCATATTTGAAGAAGAGTTAGAAGTCGAATTGTGAAGGCTTAAAATGTGATCAGAGGAATTTATTTGGAGTGTGTGATTCAGTGAGACTGTTATAGTTCCTGTGTTTTAACGCGATACCAGGAGAGGACCAGTGTACACGTAAATCGGCGACAGCGCTGTATATAAGTGTAATTAAGGGAGAATGGGTAACCAAGGCGCTAATAAATCCAATCGTGCGGACTAGAACCCACTATTATTCGTCACGCGTACCACATTACAAATGACAAGACCCACAGCTAGCGCCACCTGTGGAACAAAAGCTATACTGACATAGTTTGTCCAGTGTCTGAGGTTATTTCTTTCTAACGGGGCCAAGAAAGTAAGTGTCTTCAACCCCATCAACTTCGTATGGAAACTAAGTCCAGATTCGGTAATGTTATTGTAGCGTATCGGACGATGGGCAAAGTCCACGGAGCCCAGTAATTCAGTGTTTCTGTCGCCATGCGATAACAGCTGTACCACTCCCCTCTTTCTCCGTTCGGAACATCCGCTCTTACCGCTCGCCGCTTCACCAGGTCAGACACTCAGTTAGTCCGGGCCTCTTATGCCTTTACGGTGTCGAGGTTGTTTCTTTTCTTTTTATATTGATCATTTTGCAGACGGTAGGACTCCTTGGACGAGGGATCAGCTCGTCGCAAAACCTCTAACTAAATACAAGACAACACAAACACAGATCAAACACATACACACACCAAACATCCATAACTTCTGTGGGATTCTAACACACGATCCCGGCTTCCGAGCGAGCGAAGACAGTGCATTCCTTAGACCGCTCGGCTACCGTGACTGGTGTAAGTTAGACATTGTGTCCGGAAAACAACGGTTGGGTTTCGGAAGGCTCTGTCTCCAGATACACAGTAGCCATCACATTTAATGCTGCTTCTTTTCTTCCCTCCACACAAACCGTTTCACGAGCGGCTACAACAAAGATGGCTCGCCGCCACATGATATGGAAGTTATTAGTGCAGCATTTCCTTGAAGATGGACTGGTTGCAATGGCTCGAATTTGTGGCCAACTAGGAGATCTGACTTCGCGTCGTTTGATTTGATTTTCTTATTTGGGACAACGTAAAAATTTATATGGGCAAAATTAGAGATCTGATATACTTGAGGGTAAGAACAAGGGAGCCGGTCACGGTATCCAAACGGTCTAAAGCATGCATTGTCTTCTCTCGCTCGGAAGCCGGGACCGTGGGTTCGGATCTGTTTCCTGTGAGGTACGAACTGAACTCATATATATTATTCTTATACACTGCCGGTCACGGTAGCCGAGAGGTCTAAGGCATGAACCGTCTTCGCTCGCTCGGAAGCCGGGATCGTCGGTTCGAATTCCACACGAGGAATGGATGTTTGGTGTGTGTATGCGTTTATTCTGTGTTCGTGTCCTGTATCTAGGTAGAGCCCTTGCGACGAGCTAATCACCCGTCCAAAGAGTCCTCCGTCTGTAAAATGATCATGAAAGTGAGAAATCAGCCCTGTGCTCCAAAGTGGAAACAAGAGGAGAAAAAAAAAGAATGAGACGCCGTTTCACAGGGAATGTAAAATTGTCCCTGTGTTTAACTAATTAAGCACTACGCTACTAACACGTATGGGGGAGTGGATGTACAGATCCACATTTTCTTGACCGCGGCACTAGCTGGAGGTGAGTAGTCAGCTTCACGCCCCCGCAGTTTTACCTGCGGCGAAAGAGACCCCTGGTACCCATTCGATAGGAGGTTGGGTTAACCCCAGCACCAGTCTCGACGACATGTAAAATTAAAAATTCTTGACCCTACCAGGACTCGAACCCCAGCCCGTAGCCAGTTGCTACACCGACTTCGATACCTGGGCGGGTACCAAGAGATATGCTACAGCATGAATGGCAAGAAGCACTAAATCCTTTGGACAGGCACATACGTGAACTTACTGATTATTTCAACTTAACAGAGATACGATATAAAATAAATTATTAATTTCTTAATATATCAGCGCGTACTTTAGTAATTTGCAAAAAGGTAAATTAAAGCTATCCCTGTAATAGGCTATGGAGGCCCATAGCGTTGTGAGAATTTGAGTATCCAATATTTTTTCTAGATAATTGGCACACAGATAGCGGTAAAGTTGTCAGACTTACACTCCGGCCACCCTATACCCCCAGGAAGATTCCTGGTACCAATTTTTGTCTGAAGCTGAGTCGACCCCAGGGTCATAGTGCGGCAAGAGGGATTAGGTCAATTGAAAAGTCCACTGACCTCATCGGGATTTAAGTAATTTGTTCATGGTGTGTATTAGTACCAACCGCCTTACAGTGCACACAATTTCACCTTTCTTTTCACTACATGTTTCGGCACTAATGTGCCATCTTCAGGTGTGGTTTTGTTTACGTCAAACCATGGCACTGTATGCCATCATGTCTCCTTTATAAAACGATTAAATGTATAATAATAAAATTTATATATTAAAACTTTTCAAGATTTATCATCTACACGTCGCACTTCAAATTCGCGAGTTACATCCATCCTCTCCTATGGGAGTGCTCTTCCTATATTCTTGTGTATATTGTGTGCTGTGTTGTGTCCTTCCCTTGTGACTGCGTGCGTTGTATTGCTGTATTGTGTGCAATGTAAGACGGTGGTTACAAATACACATGAACGTGAATCAGTGCATCAGGACGCTAAAATATAACATTAAGTAATTTGTATTGACTCTATTTCTTTCGACATAGCACCTATTCTATAAGTCGTTATTAAATAAAAAACTATATATATTTTTTTTTAATTTTAAGAATGAACGTTAGAGTAATGGAGGACAATGCCAGGAATTCGTCCTAAATTCGATATTTAGGGAACTGAAACTTCTATCGCGAACTTAAAATTTAAAAAAGAAAAGTCATTGTTTAGGCGACAAGTCTGATACACACAAAGCGCTGTGAACAGGGGCTTCAAGACACAAATCACATTTACTTACTTGGGCTGGCGACGCCTAGTTCATTCCATCTGAAGGCTGAGTAGCTAACCGCATGGCTGTACAGCGAGGCCTTGTTTTCGTAACGTCTCGTGTCTTCCCCTCCCCAATCTGCCGAGAGAGTACCCATGTTTCAAATGTTTCATTTGTACTAAGCGTTTCTAATGTGAAATCTAATGGAGTGCAGTGCATTTCATACCTGCCGAATAATTTTTAACTTCTGACAGTACAAGAGGTATGACAGTCTACGGTGTTCGGATCGAAGAAAGATGAAGTGACAGGAGGTTTGACAAAACTGCGTAATGAGGGGCTTCATAACTTGTACTCTTCTTCAAGTATAATTAGAGTGATCAAGTCAAGGTAGGAAATCCAGAAGGAAGGAGTCCACTGGGAAGACCAAAACGTAGGTGGGTGAACAATATTAGAATGGACCTTAGAGATATGGTAAATGGATAGTACGGATTGGATTGATCTGGCTCAGGATAGGGACCAGTGGAGGGCTCTTGTGAACACGTAATGAACCTTTGGGTTCCATAAAATGGCAGGAAGTTCCTGAGTAGCTGCACAATTGGCGGTTCCTTAAGAAGGGCTCAGCTCCGTGAGTGAGTGAGTCTAAGGCGTTAAATCAAGTGTCACGTAACTTCGAACAAGGCCAAGAGTAACCTTGAATGCGCAGAAGAGAAGTGACAGGCGGCCAGTTGTACAAACNACAACTGGCCGCCTGTCACTTCTCACACCCTCGAACTCACCCCCTTGCCTGAAATTTTTCTTCTACGCATTCAAGGTTACTCTTGGCCTTGTTCGAAGTTACGTGACACTTGCTTTAAGTGCAACAGAAATAACTTATGAACGCAGACTCAGTGTATCGATTGTGAAATTCGACTTGAAATTGAAAATGGAGCTGAATAACAATTTTAGATTAGTGGCTGAACTGTATGTTACTGAGAACCTCGTGGTTCTGTTCGCAGGAAACAAACTGATTGGCTAGCAGCAGGTAACACCGCTCTCTACTTACTCCACAGTCCTAGTACAACCACACATGCCTCCACCACATTTCCACCTCTGATTTTGCTATTATAGCACACTTCAAGACCATGTAGGTCATTTTCAGTCCATTTTCCTTATTTTGAAAAAAAATAAAAGTAAGCTTATGCGATCTCCATGCTGTCTATGTATTTGTGTATTCACCTTATCAACTAGCATTTCAATCATGCCACTTGAGCCCAACTAAATGGCCTACTTCATTAATTCCCCCCGTCTGTCTATCCATCTCTACGTGTATACCCCTATAGTTCCTAGGCAACGACTAGGTAAAAATCTCCTTATATTGCTACGCAACTGTTCGGTAAAAATTCCCAAGTGGTTGCTAAGCAACAGCTCATTAAAAGAACGTTACAGCGGAAACTAATATGTACGCAACCATATAAGAAACGTTGTACGCGTCGTTTTCTATGTGATTGGTGTCATAACAGGGATAGTAAGAGATTAGTTCTTCGCAGAAATTCTTGTCTCCTCCTTGATGTTATTGGCATGTGCATAAATAATTAACAGGTAAAAATGATGAAATCGATAACACGAAAAACGTGTTCCACATTCTCACTGACTAAATTTTCAAGTGGTTAAAGTAAATGATATTAAATGAAACTTTCACTGATTTTCAGTTCCTTATTCTTCTTAAGAAGTTCTCGCAATCAATAAGAATGTAGTAACAAAGGAAACATTAAAAGAGCCAGATATAATTATTAATAGTATTTTATTTAACACATAAACGCTTGTCTAATTAATTCAAATGCAAGTCACTACCCAAGCGCATCCTACTTACTGCCTCAGCAGACTGTGTGTCACATAGATATCGATAAGTTTCCGTCTTAGATGGCCGTCAATCAAGAGAAGGCCGCAACATTGGCCAAACACCTCTCCAAGGTCTTCAAACCTTTCGACACTGAGACCACACAAGAAGAAGAATACGAAATCAACAACTTCCTAGATGCACCCTATCAGATGAATCTACCAATGCGAAACTTCAAATATAAAGAAGTGGAAACGGTCATCAAAAAAGAAATCAACCCCAAAAAAGCTCCTGGATTCGACTTAATCACGGGAAAGATATTGGAAGAATTACCAGAAAAATGCATCCAAAAAATTACACACATATTCAACGCAGTGTTAAGAGTAGAATACTACCCAATACAATGGAAAATATCACAAATAATTATGCTGCCAAAACCTGGGAAAAACACGAAAGAAGTAACATCCTACAGACCAATAAGTCTGATACCAGTACTATCCAAGGTACTAGAAAAACTACTACTGAAAAGAATAAAACCAGTGATAGAAGATCAAAACATAATTCCCAAACACCAATTCGGATTTAGAAACAAGCACGCAACTACGGAACAAGTCCATAGACTAGTCAACCAAATAAACAGGGATCTCGAAACAAAACGTTACTGCACAGCGGTGTTCCTTGACATAGAACAGGCCTTTGACAAGGTCTGGCACGCAGGACTATGCTACAAAATGAAACAGAAACTTCCGCATCAAATGTACGCAATTCTGAGATCCTATCTTACACATAGATACTACTTTGTAAAGCAACAGGAGGCATTAACAAACCTATACCCAATATCATCTGGCGTACCCCAAGGTAGCGTTTTAGGACCAGTGCTATACTTGATCTACACATCAGATCTACCAACAACTAGAAAGACAACAACAGCCACGTTTGCAGATGACACAGCTATCCTGGCATCTCATACCAATCCTCTATCCGCATCCAGGAACTTACAAGACCACCTAAATAAAATTCAACACTGGCTGAAAAAGTGGCGTATGAAGGCAAATGAAAATAAGTCTACGAATGTAACGTTCACCATGAAACGCACTACCTGTCCTCCAGTAACGTTAAATCACTCTCAGATACCACAAGCAGAAGACGCCAAATACCTTGGTATACACCTGGATAAACGACTGACATGGCAAAAACACATTCACACCAAAAGAAAACAACTCGGAATAAAATTCCGACAGATGTATTGGATGCTGGGAAGGCAGTCGGAGCTATCGACAGAAAACAAGATCTTACTGTACAAAACCATGCTCAAACCGATATGGACGTACGGGCTACCATTATGGGGATCAGCCAGTAACTCAAACATAGAAATTCTCCAACGATTTCAAAGCAAAGTATTACGAATAATAGTTAACGCACCGTGGTATGTGCCGAACACGGTACTACACAAGGACCTAGATGTACCAACAGTACGAGAGGAAATAAAAAAAACAGCAAAAAGTATAAAATCAGACTCCAGGCCCATCCGAACGACTTGGCACAAAAACTGCTCGACGACGAAGGGGAAATCAGGAGGCTAAACAGATTTAAACCATCAGATTTACCCACCAGATTCGAATAATTCAACACTTAACTGCATATCACTAAGCAGTTAAAACAAGTATTGAGCATGTATATTGGAACTCTCTTTCCTTTTCTATATGTAAACCACAAAATGTACTTATTATCCACACTTAATGGATAGATTGTATAATTATTGGAGTTAAAAAAAAAGAAGGCCGTCATTAGGGTGAGGAGAATGTCGCTAGATATGGAGGGGGGGTGCACATTGTCTCATCGCAAAAGTGCTGCTACCAGCTGGCGATATTGTGAGCTTCACGCAGCAGTGCCTAGAACAACAGCTGATCCTGTTGCCAAATCCTTTGCCTGAGTGACTCGTTCTATTTTTATTAGCTGTTGAACATTTGTGTTTCTTTAATTGAGTTTCGTGAAACTATAAGAAAATTGAAGCTTAAGATTAGAATTGTACTTATTATCCACACATAATGGATAGATTGTATAATTATTGGAGTTAAATAAAAAAAAGATTAGAATGTAGTTTATAGATACAGTAAAGCTCTACGTGTAGAAATAAGGAGACTAAAAGCGCAAGAAAAAGAAGAATGGGTTGCTATTCTAAGGGAGGCCAAAGCAAACGTGAAAGTGCCGTAAAGCCAGAGGAAGGAGAATAAGAAGACGAAGAAGACAAAGAAGAAGAAGAGAAAGACGAAGAAGGAGAAGAAGAAGAGCTTATAGTTAGATTGTTATAGTGGCTGTGTTTGACAGCTAAGGAAGTGGTCATCTAAAATCGCCTAATATGGGTAGGTTATGGGCTCCCAATATGAGAGGAGGAAAGTTCAAAGCAGAACTCAGGAGGAATACGGAAGGAATGTGCCTGGAACTGAAAGGAAATTAGTTTACATACAGAAAACAACTCATACATGGAGGACAGGACGAAAGCTGAGGTCAATATGAAGACGCCAGTGAAATGTAAGCTTTCGAAATTATAATTTCGGAAGAGACAGACTCTGCTAAGAATTAGTAGTTCTTTGGGGTTCAGAACGAGAAATGATGGCCGTGAGCAAGCTGAATGTATTTGTTGCTGCAGACTGTTCTCAGCGGAGCCAGAAGGCGAGGAATGGATCCGGCGCGCTGTCAGCCTGATGCAGGCACACACTCACACACTCACACACACTCACACACTTTGCGCAGATGCGTAAGAAGGAACTTTCGTGCGTGAACGTTACTCTTCAAAATAACAAGGAACTGTTTAGTGCCATTGAAACTGCCTGCCAAATCTTCATAGCGTGTTCCTGTCTTAGTTTCTTAACATTTACAGCAGCTACAGCAGCAATGTTCTGCACTTCGTCATTCCTTTGTCGAGGAAGTACCTGAGTTTTTATATTTACTAATGGAGCTGAGCCCTTCTTGAGGAGAAGCCAAAGCCGCAGCTACTCAAGAACCTCCCCATATTTTGTGGAACCCGAAGGTTCATTACCGTGTTCACAAGAGCCCTCCACTAGTCCCTATCCTGAGCCAGATCAATTCAATCCATACCATCCCATCTCTCTAAGATCCATTTTAATATTGTCCACCCACCTACTCCTTGGTTTTCCCAGTGGTCTCTTTCCCTCTGGCTTTTCCACCAATATCCTATATGCAATCCTCTTCTTCCCCATTTGTACTACATGCCCTACTCACCTCATCCTCCTTGACTTGATCATTCTAATTATACTTGGAGAAGAGTACAAGTATCTGAATTTATATCAGAGTTTAAAAT